CTTCAACCCATTCACAATCCACCTCACTACCAGATCATCTAGACCACACTTCCTCGGTTTAGCTGAGAGGATGCTGTAGGAGACAGTGTCAAATGCTTTACTGAAATCAAGATAAACCACATCCACTGCACTACCAGGTCTTTTCTCACTGGAGAAGCAAAGGCTCAGGGAGGACCTCATCACAGTATGCCAGTACTTAAAGGGCAGCTACAAAGAAGATGGAGGCTCTCTCTTCACCAGGAGCCACATGGAGAAGACAAGGGGCAACAGGTATAGGTCGCATGGGGAGAGGTTTCATCTTGACATAAGAAAGAAATTTTTTACAGTAAGAACAATCAGTTACCAGAACAATGTCCCCATGGATGTGTTAGAGTCCCCATCATTGCAAGTTTACAAGATGCAATTTGGCATGGTGCTAGATGATCTCGTCTAGGCTCCCTTTCCTACGAAAGGTTGGACCAGATGATCTTTTGAGGTGTCTTCAGACCTGGGCTGCTCTATGAGTTTGATGGACAGGGAGTCTCTAAGCAGGCTTTGCTCCTGGAGAAAATGACTGTGGAAAAACACCTCTCAACACATCTGGTCTACTGTGTTTCTTGCCTTGAGAATATTACTAAGAAGTAAAAGTGGCCTCTTCATTAATCTGTCTTCATTGCTCCTACTGTTTAGAGAATCAGGTACTCGGGGGCACTTTATTAACAGAAAAGTCTGTTTATTTGCAAGAACTCACAATCTGAACAGTATAGATAGGAAGTTAGCTTGGAGTTTTCTGTAGGACAATTTAACTAACAAAAAACCCAATAAAAGTAAATGTGTATTTTCTAAATTCTGTATCTCGCCTTTAAAGAACTTCTCTGACTAATTGCAGTCTTCTGGACTTACGCAAATCAGTTTCATTGTGTTACAAACTGTTGCAATATGTGGTCTTCTCATGCCTGAATACTCTCTCTCATCAGAGCACCAACAAAACAAAACAAAAAGAACTTGAGAGATGGCTTTCCTGTGCCAAACACCATGTTCCTTCTACCAAAACAGCTAACAACTTTCCTCTGGGATTTATATACAAGTTTACTTCCAATTTGAAATCTCTTCCTTGTGTTTGTCTCCTAGCTTATGATTTACGCTAAATAGCATTGTGCTTTGAGACAAGGAAGGCACATACACTAGATGTCCATCAGTAGAAACAGTTTACCAGTATGGTTCCCTCTTCTTAGTTAGGAAACCCCACTTTGAGCCTCTTGTACCTCTTTCCAGGTACATGTGTTGATGTAGCCTAAGTGTTCCTCTACAGGATTATTCTGACTTGTTTTCTGAAAGTGGTCTGTGTCCTGTGGTTTAATATAGTGATAGCTGTTCACTGTACGTTGAAAGAAAACATTTCTACATGAGCTCTCTTCTAGTTGTTTCAGTGGAAAATTAGTCATTTGGAGGAAACATGAAATCACGAATTACACAGGCCTGCTGTTCCAGCTCCTTCCCTCTATATTATCCTGAGGAGTTTCAGAGAGACTAACTGGAGTTTGCAAATCCCATGGCTGATGGGAGGTTAGGATGTCGCCCAGGCCTCTCCCCGACCTAGGCTAGCTGCATTTCAGAATCTCCCTATGCTGGGGCTTGTTGCTGACCAAATAAAAGCAAATTTCTCTCCAGTTTATTATTAGCACGAGGTTCCTTTTTTGGTCCAATGCTTCCTAGCAACCTGAGTGTCTGTTAGTTTGCTTTTCACAAACTGTTATCATAAGTCCACTGAAACAGAGTACATGGTGAATTAGCCGATACCCTTGAAAAGATAACGATAGGAGAAATGGCCAAGCCCAGAAAAGGCAGAAGGCACTTTGCCACGCTAGTGCGATACAGATCCCGAGTGCCTGCAGAGCATGGGATGCCCAAGAAGGGGTACATGAGCAGGGAGATGTTTGCGCCCTGGGGATGGTGCCACCCAGCGTGTCCCTGGGCTGGGTACCCTCCCCTTGGGCTGCAGTGAGGGATTTTCAGAGCTGACAGCCCTGCCCTGTCCCTTGGAGCTAGGTGTGTCACCACTTCCTTTTAAAAGTGAAGAAGTGAATAGGTGTTTGCTTCAAAGCTCTAAACTGAGCTTGGACACCTTCTTTCCTGCTTGAGGTGCCAGTTCCTCCCTTCAGCATCTCCCATTCCCCTGCCCTGAGTCCCTTTGACTCTCGGGGGACCCAAACCTGCAGCTTCCAGAAACCTTTCTTAGCTGGCAAGTTATAAGCTATTTCAGGGACCCTGATTCCCTCCTACTAAAGTTGCTCTATTTTAATCATCAATGATTAAAGACTAATGAGGATGGAAGGAAAGTATGCGCAGCAGTGCACAACTGAACAGGGGCTGGAGCACTCGCTGGGAAGAGCAGCGTTCAGTACCTCCATCAGCTATTACTGTATTAAATAACCATCGCATGGACTGGAGTCCAGCTCTTTGCTCTCCTAAGTCATAGTGTTAAATCACCTAGCCTGAGCTGTCCCTGTGTGCTCTGTCTAGCCCTGTCAATGTTTAATTATGCCATCTGGGGCCCAACAGCTTCAACAGGAGAGAATAAACTCATCCTCCTCCCCTCCTGAATAGCCTAGGTGTGCCTGTCCCTGAGGAAGGGGGTGTGTGGGGCCTGAAGCTTTCTGTGCTCAGGATCAAAATGAATCAAAGTTTCAGCATGCATGCTTGTGGCCCTTGGTGCATAGGGTAGAAGTGGGCTGTCCCCTCACCCTGCTGGTTTTGGTGCTCCCTTTGCACAGTGCTCTCTCTGAGCACACCTGCAGCATGAGGCTCCTGCTGCAAGGCACAGAGCAGGACTTTGAATTCATTCATTGGGGCAGGACACAGATATGGCCCCAAAACTGTCTCTTCCTAAAAGGGCTGAAGATGACACGACATAAAATCTGGCTGTTTATAAATCCCCCAAACTCTCATGCTGTCCTACTGGATTTTTAAGGGCTTTTTCTGCAGTATAGAAGCATTAGCCTCATAGTAATGAAGACACTAAGATAACTGTTATTTTTACAGGGATATAAAAATTGATATAGTCTCAAACCTGTCTCAAACTTTCCTAGAATAATATTTTTCCTGTATTGAGAGTGGTGTATTCCCAGGACAAGATGCAGTGAGTTGTACCTGCTCTTTTGATACTCTTTGGGACTTGCCCACATAAGTCACTTGTTGTTTTGACATCCACCTTTCCCACACTCATGCTGAAACAGCATTAATACCATCCCAGTCTGTATTTTCTACCTTGCAGACATTCACAAAGCTTTCACTTAAGGTTACAAAATATTGTACAGAGCAAGCTCCTCAACTAGCTGTTTATAATTGGGCTAGTTCTCAATTGAGTGGCCTCAAGTTAATTTTTAGTTTTATATTCATGTTATTCTATATTTTAAAAAATTTAAAGGGTCTTTGCCATTTCCTGAAATAATTTCCTTGCTCATTTTAAAAGCAGGTGGTTTTGTAGAGCTGCGATGCCTCTGTGGTACTGGGTACAGATTTAAGATTTGCTACAGGCATAATACGGAGTGCTATTACAAACATTGTGGAAAAGCATGAAGCATTGGGTGGTTCATAAATCCTAAACAGTCATTGCTTATGTAGGGGCAGGATTTGTAAGGGATTTTTCCTAAAATATCTGAACCTTTCCTTAGCCCTGAATTTGCTTCCCAAGCTCACATGGGTGGAGTGTCAGAAGAGCAGGCGAGAGAAAAGTTGGTGCCTGTAGTCTTCTGTCCCACATCCCTTTGGGCTTGTGGAAGAGATGCTCTCCTGGGAAATCCAGGAGCTCCCTTACTCCCAAGGAAAGCTTATACCTTTTACAGCCCATCCCTGGATCATGGCCTTATAAACCTGCCTTGAAGGAAAAGCTCCCTGCCCCCACTTTACAGATGGCTTAACAGGTGTTGGCAAGTATCATTAGAAATGGAGCTCGGGATTAAGCATTTGTCTGCAGCATAGCCCTAAAATGCCCCTTATTCATAGCCAGGTGGCCTTGCTAAGTAGTCTTGTCATGCCCAGATGCCTTCTCGTGCTGCCTGAAACTGTGGGCTCCCACCCAAGGCAGGGAGCAGGAGCTGGCACCCACGCTCCCCTCAGCCACAGGAGCACCACTGCTCCCAGGTACGCCTGCTGCTCCAGTGTTAGCAGCCCTCTTCTGCTGCTGGGGGGTTTGCTCAGCCTCTTTGGGTCTGCTGCCAGTTTTGATGATTAGCTGGGGTCTGCAACGCTTCTTTTTGTTTTGTTTAGACAAACAGAATTTAGAAATCTTTCTTTTAAAAGTTGCTTGAAGAGAATGTTTAGTCACAAAGTCAGGCAGGGAATGACTAGGAAATACTTAATTTGAGGCTGAGAAACATTAATTCAGCCCACTTGTGCTGCTTGTTCTACTCATCTCCTTACCCCAGTTAGGGAGCAACATGGGCAGTAAAGGAGATGAAGTATATGAAGACTAATGATGTTCCCTGGCTATAGTTGCAACACAGATAAAAATTCATAGCATTCAGATGTAACGGCAGGCAGGAATAGAATAATTAATGGCCACAGGGATGACATTTGGATAGCACAGATTATGTTAACTCTGCTATCTCCCCAAGTTTTTATATTTGCATTGGCAGCCCAGCATTCTTCTAATTTATTTTATTTTTGTGTATGCAGTCTGTACGTATGAAATGCCCCTATTTTCCCTGTTTTCCCTGTTGGTTAATAGGTTGGCTTATGGAAGTGATTTGCAATGTTACAGGCAAGGGAGGATGTGATCCACATGCTGAAGACAGAAAAAACCAAACCTGAAGTTTTAGAAGCTCATTATGGGTCTGCAGCTCCAGAGAATGTGCTCCGAGTGCTACACAGGGATGCCATTCTTGCCCAGGAAAAGTCTATAGGGGAAGACGTCTATGAGAAACCAATTTCAGAGGTAATAATTTCTTGGTTTACATAATTATGTCTGTGCAGAGGGAATCCCAACCAGAAGTGAGACTCTACACATAAAGCATGCAAGAGGATAACACAGCATTTGTACAAATGACAAGAAATCAGAGAAAAATTGAATGTTCTTGTTCACCTGACTGCAGAATAAATTGTAAGCAAAGTCACCGGGTTTGAAGACAAACAATAAAGAGCTTGCATGCTCCTTAGGGGTGGTGCCATTAAGCAAGAACAAAATTTTTGGGTGTTACATTTCTGTTTTTTAAATTCCTTTCAATTATAGGCTGCACTGGTAAGCATTCTTTGATTTTCTTGGCAGACGAGACCACTATCGTGTGGGTAGTTGGGAAAAGAAGACCCTCAGAGACTGACTTTGACCGTATTTATGGGATCATAAACCCATAATCATTTTACATCACTTAAGCTCTAGGACTGCAAAGTCAGTTCAGTCCCTAAAGGAGACCTGTAGGACTTGGTCCCTTGCTTTAGAATCTAAGCAATAAATGAATGTCGCCTAGACATGGGAATGCCTGAGGCCAGCGTGAATGCCAAAATAAGCTGGTACTGCTCATGTTTGTAGTTTCATAACAGACCAGGGCATGGAGAAAGAGCCTGCAACAACATACAATATAGTATACTGTAGTGCCTGACCGAATCTTCATAGTTCCTCCTATTAGAACATCTAATTTTTTCACCAGAAATTGTGTCTACCATGGCATATCTTCATACTGTGTATTCTCATTGAAGCATCTTCTGGAATTTTTGAGATGATAGTAAATAAGGAAAGCAAACATTAGCATGTGGAAGCATGCATGAAATACTGTCAAACAAGATTAAAAGAGCTTAGCAGGGCTTTGTCTAAACAAGCTGGTAATTTCACGGAGACCTCAGTGTAAAACTTTTGTCATGCATAGGTCATAGGGGTTATGCTGGAACTAAAATAGGATGGTGACAAAATTTCGTAAGTGTGAAAGATCTACTCTCAAAGGCAGAACCCAACCTGTCTACTTTATAAAATGCAATGACTCTTTTACTTTCATTGCCACTGTCAACTTCTGGAGAGCAAATTGCCGTGGTCCTGCTCTCTTATTTCCCTGAGTTTGCTGAGGCACTCTGTGAAACAGCAACTGCCCGGTGCAGCCAGGGCTGAGGAAGACTTGATTCACGCAGGGTAAGGGCTGGGGGTGGGCAGAGCAGGCTCTGCCAGCTGCCGTGCCGGGGGCAGGCAAGCAGAGAAGCGCCAGGGCTATCAGCTGCTTCAGCAGAGAGGAGGATGGAGCTTGTCACCTGCTCCCGACGAACAGCAGAAGGAGCAACATAAATAGCCATGGTGGCTTCAGAGTGCCCTGGCAACTTTTTAGACACAACTCCCTGGCCTTAGTATTTCTTTGAATAATAATTGGCATATTAAATTATATTAAAAAAACCCAGAAGACAAAAAAGGTAAAATGTTGCTAATAAAGAAAGACAAATTTCTATCAAAAAACAGGCTAAAGGGAAAACCCTAAGGCTCATAATGAACTGTATTCGGTGATGTAAAACTGAGTCTATACTGAATCTGAATAGTTTAGACTTCTATCTGAGCAGTCCTACAGGTGCGCTGAAGATGCATAACTCACATTTCAGCCTTGTGCTTACACCTTACACTCCGCATATAGGTCTGTGAACTCAGGCCCCAGGGGTCTGAGGGCATGTGTCCTGCCCTGGCATTTGCTACAGCTTTTCCTGTGTGAAACAGGGCAAGTGTGAACAGTACCTCACAACAGGGGAAATTCTGCACCCTAAAACTAGGTGAAGTTCTCTCCTTTGTGTATCTGAGAACCTCACAATGTTTATTGCAAACATGCCGTCCAAAGAAATCATTACTTTTACAGGACAATTATTCTTATTTCTAGTCACTGCTTTATGTAAAGCCCAAGACATAAAATTATGGGAATTGCATTTACCAAACACAACATTGTTGGTTAATGAATCAGATGAAGTAAGCAAGGAGGCCTTTAAAACAGTCTATTCTCCTTTCCTACAACCTAGCTGGACAGACTTGAAGAAAAGCAGAAAGAGACGTATCGGCGCATGCTGGAACAGCTCCTGTTGGCAGAAAAGTGCCATCGCCGCACAGTTTATGAGCTGGAAAATGAGAAACATAAACATACAGATTACATGAACAAGAGTGATGACTTTACCAACCTCTTGGAGCAGGAGCGGGAGAGGTGAGTACCTGAAATGGTGCAAAGAGTATCCCCGGTGCACAGTGCTTGTTGGTTCATCAGTGACATGGTCTGGTATTTTCTGTGTTTCAATTCGTGTGTAAACCATTTGTAGATGTTGGTACACTCATGTTATTAGTAAGTACGTTACCATGCTAGTCTAGAGCTGGAGGAATACCACTGAATGTTCCTGTAGCGTGCGTTTGAACTAAGAAAGGAATTTGTTTTGAATTACTCATGCCCGTTTTGGATTCACCTCCTGGTAGCTTTTGATCAGATGTTATTTACGTTGGCTAAGTTGGGGGCTGGCTTGCTTAGCTAAGCGCCACATTTTGTGAAGGACAGGGCACTGTTTGTCACAGCAGGAGAACAGGGTAAGGGAAACCACAACACACACTAGGATACTGGCACACAAGTAGCAGGGACTTTGCCATGCCCTTTGCATTTAGGCTTGCACAGTCACAAACCATTTGCATTATTTCTCATATTTTTGAAGTTGCACGCCTCAGGCAAGATCCGTGTTCCCCTGGAAGAAAATATTTTCATGTTTTATAAAATGTGCCCAGCCTGCGATGGACTATCTGCAGTGTTTATCTCATAGGCTCATATGGTCCAAGTTTTTTGTTTTTTTTTTTTTTCAAGTGTTTGTCCTCCTTGTGGGAATAATTTGTTCTCTGAGTCTCTAAGAAAAGAAAGAGCACCTATCTTAGGTGAAGAATGAGCACTTGATAACAGCCCCAGTTTTTCAATATGAAATTTTCATGCTCATACCAAACTGCTTGAAATCAATCCACAACTTTTTTTTTTTAAAAAAAAAAAGCTCTGAGAAAATACTTAAGGCAAGTTCAAAGAAGAAATGCTTTTGAGGAAACCACAGTCTGGTGGCAGACAGTTACAAAAAGCCAAGAGCTAAATTGTTTAGTGTATTTCCTGAGCTCAGTTCAGTGCCAGCTTTGAGTAGGTGGCACATGAGCTACAGTGACCATATTTCCTGGTTTAATAGCTGCTGGTTTTCTGTCTGTTTTCCTGAGTAGTTTGGCAAACTTTAAAGGACAAAAATGCTTCTGCATCTTAGCAATTTGATTCTCCTAGCAGAAAATAAAAACATTGTTGTATTTCCAAGTAAGGAACAATTTCACATCTGATTCTCATAGATGCCATTTTTTCTCTATGACGAATATCCATGTATGTGCATGACATGAAGTCAACCAAAATTCTACAAAAGTAATAATGATATTAAAATACTATTTACGTTTGTCTTTACATTTTGTTTTCATTAAATTTGACAATTGTTGCCACCTTATTATTCCAGCTCAATTCATGAAGGCCACTAAATAGCCTAAGATTATGACCTGCTTTGAACTGACTTCCTTCAATAAATTGATTAAAAGCTTTCTGTCTCACATTACTACTGCTGAGATATCAGGTCCCAGCTCTGCAGGCATTTTCTCATATTCTTCCTGCTCTTTCCTGTCTTTTAAGCTTCAGTTTTTCTACATTCCACAATTTTTGGAAAAACAGCAATAAAAAAAGGAGAATTTGAGTTTGAACTTCTGTTGAAAGCAGATCTTTAAGAGCAACTAAATCCCCTGGCTTTAGTCACCAGTGCCAGTACTGGTGGCTGTGGGGGAAGAATTGCAGCGCTGAAGCCTTTTTGATTTATGTTGAGTGACACGAGAAACCTGATGTTTGCTATTTAATCCACTTTGTTTGTCTAAGGCACTAACGACAAAATTCGTTTCAAGTTTAGTAGCGACCAAGCAGAGAGAACATGGCATGTACCTAAACGTAGAAAACCAAGAATGCACATCCCTCCCTCTTGAGGGTCCTCCTCCCAGATCACTTGCAGAGCAGATTAGCAAAATCAGGACGGGCTGGAAATCACTCATTAGTGTACAGTCTTAAATGATCACAGCTTCTCATCTTTGTTTGCGGAGTGCACATGAAACCGAGGCTGCACCCACACCTTTGTAGGTATTAAAAAATGGAAGTAGTACCGTTTGAGGGCTATATTCACAGAGAAAGAGAGGGTGATGGGATGAGTTCTCAGGAAAGCCCCACAGTGGCAATCAGCAGCAGATTTTTCTCAAAAAGAAAGAGTTTGTAGTGGAAAGATTGAGATGCAATAGGTTAAAACATACAAAAACCTCCCATACTCACTTAATCTGCATATTGGGACAGAGAACTGACCTGCCCAAAGGCATTTCTCAGGGTTCTTCATAGGCATTCTTGTTTTATAAGTACCACTATATATATCATTTGTTTTACTGTGGTGCTTTGAGGCCTCAGGGTTGTTTTATTAAGAGCTGAACAGACTCGTAGTCTCCACGAAACAGAAAAGGGACACGGAGGTGAACTTTGCCCATCAGCCACTGCTGCACTCGCGGTTATAATGTTAATGAGACAGGGTGAGCCAGAGGAAGAACAGTCCTGTGGGACGGCCATCTCACATCGGTCTGGTACAATGAAAGCAGTAATAATTTCTGTCCTGGATCTAAGTAATTTAATTAATTTCTTTCCTCACAGTATTTTACCAATCTTTCCTAACCATTGCTGTCCCACACCAACTTTTAGAGGCCACATCTGCTCTTGCTGTCCTGTGAAAGTTTGAACAAGATAAAAAGACACATTCTTTAAGAGCAGAAATATGTCTCGGTTCTAATGTATTTCTAGCACTCTCTTAACATATTTACTTTGGAATGTTTTTTTGCATACACTTTTGTATGTTATCTCTAATCCATCCACAACAACATGATATGAAAGCAAACAGTCCCTATGAGGGACTAATTATTAGGTCAGCCTTGCATAGGAAGGAAGTAACAGGAAAGCATGATTTGTCAAGAATAATTACGCACAAAAAGTATGAAAAAATAGAAAAGTGTACACAGGGATATTCAAAATGTAGACAGCTAGGAGGGGTAAATGGAGAAAGCTGGAGGGTCTGACTGTTAGTGTTGGCTCTGCAACACCAAGTACAGCTAAGCTGTAGAAAGACTGTGTGAAAAGGTTGGCATGTTACAGGAAAAGAGTAGTGACAAACGTTTGCCAGACGGAGATGAAAGAAAGAAATCTGGTACTTTCAGTGGAAGATGCTTCTACAGACATGGTGGTTGAAGTGTTTTGCAAATTTTCCTATAGTGCACTATAAATATATCTAAAGATGGGAATGTTTTGAAAGTTAGGGATGGTATTTTCTATTTTTACCATTTGACCAAAATTCCCCTTTTCTGCACTTGCCACCCTCAGCTGCTGTTCCTGTAACATCAAGCTATCCTTGGGGACCTCCTACCCCTGGTAGTGCAAAAGCAGCCATCTTCCTGGAGCCTCCTGATGAGGCTGAGGAATAAGGAGAAGAGCTGGAGGTCCCCAGGGCCCCCTCAGAGACCTTTGGTGGCAGATGATGGGGCAAGGAGTCTCTGGTCTGGCAGGTAGAGAATGAGGGGTCTGACAGGAGCTTCACTGGCAACGTGGCTTGCAGTGGACACCTGAAGAACAGGAGACCCCCCAGCAGCAGCTGTAACGATAAAATCAGTCCTCCCAGCACAGGCACCCTCCTGATCTTCAGCCATGCTTTGGGGAGTGAGCTGGTGGTGTGAACTCGGGCACCGGCTGAGCTGGCTGCAGCTAAACCAGCTATTGGCACTTCCCTATCCCCAAAAGCTCTTGTGTAAAGCAGGCTTAACATGAAGTGGTACTTGGTTGTTCTCTGTTCTGCCTAGTCCCAGCTCTCTTGCCTTCCCCTTTAGGAAACTGTGATGGGGGAGGTGGGGAGAGAAATCTTTAGGATCAACTATAAACTTTTTTATTTGATCAGCAGGGCTTTTACTTCTGGCGGAAAAAGGGAGAGCTCTGGGTAACCTCGGCCCTGCTTTGACCTCTCGATCAACCTAGGAGATGAGGTTTAAAATACTGACATTTTTAGAGGTGCTAATCTCTGAACAATTTGTCTTGTACTCTTCTTTTAATCCCGTTTGTTGACAGCATGTTTTGCTACTATGAAAAGCACTGGAAAGCTCCCATTGATTCTAATGGTTCAGAAACAGGCTTGGGGTGAGGGCCACTGAGCCAGTCCTCCAGGACCGATGGCAGAAATAGCCTGAAAGCCTTCAAAAATGGAGGGAGGAGTAGGGAGTTTCTTTCGTATGCATGGGACGTGGTTTGCCGAATAGATGGTGCGATGTGGCGGAAAGGCTTTGTTGGAGCTCATTAAAGGAGGACTGTGCAACTGCTTTGTGAGTAATTTGATCATTTCCAGCACGATCCCTGAGACTGCTGAGAGTCTTTTACCCCTCCACACAACGTGTCAGTAAATACACACCCAGTATCTAATGTAAGTACGGTCTGTCTGAAAGCATCGATATTATGTTTAGTCACATTTTATTGCAAGACTTCATTGAAGTGATGAGGATTTTGAATCAGCTCTCGCTTTCCTTGCTGCAGATTCAAATTATTCTTTACAACCACAGCAACAGCGTTCTTAGTGCACTGAAGCATTTCGCATTTTCCTCAAAGGCAAGGCCGAGGATTCAGTCTGCACTTCCTAAGCAGTGTCCTGCTAAATCTGGTTTTAGTTAAACCCTCTTTTTGAAGTACATGACCATAATTAGATCTGCATAGAGGAGACAGCAGGACTGTGACCCCAGATCTTTCCTCCACAAAGTTTCCTTTCAGTCTTCACGTAAAATTGTCTCCTCTCTGCCTCCCCCATCGCAGCACCCCCAGCAAGGAATGCACTGGCAAGTCCCTCGGAGGTCTGTGATAATACATTCCTCTCGGCTTCGGTCATCCTGGCACCGAGATGCTCTTGGCTGCTCTGCTGGTGATGTAATTCTGGGCCCGCATCACCTGCAAAGGAAACTGATCTGTGAGCAATAAAGCACACAGCCGTCTTGAAACAAAAATGGCAGTGTTGATGTTAGCACATTTTTAAAATCTTTTTTTCCCCCTTTTTAGATTTCTGCTTTTATTACCGAAGCTCCCCTTCTCCCTTTTCCCACGAGACG